CCGGTATGAATACCTATGATTAACTGCGTTTGCCGTCGCTTTTATTTTCTGCAGCACTACAATCTGTTTTACACCTGCAACAATTGGACTGTGCTGATGTTTCGGTACAATTATTACTTGTTTGTTGCATGTGCTCTGTGGGTCTGAGTCTGTCATTATCCTTTCTGACTCCTATTGTCTGCGTACCTGCAGGAAGAACTGTGTGAGATGCGGCAACTGCAGAGGCTTGACCTCAGCAAAAATGTACTCATCTTCCTGCCCCAGGCCATTGGCCGTCTAGAGAAGCTGCGACAGCTGGATCTGTTCAGCAACCGCCTCTCCTCGCTGCCCCTGAGCTTTAGTCAGTTGGCGCAGCTGAAGTGGCTAGACCTCAAGAACAACATGTTAGATTCGCAGATCGCCGGTGTGGCGGGTACCTGTGTGGATGAGCGCGAGTGCGAGGAATGTGCTACCAATGTGAGTACACGTACGTGTATATTCATTAGTGAGTTTCTGCTGCACGGAACTACGTACTAAACACCGTTTAAGCTGCAGTGATGTTTGACACGGATTTTTCGTACGTTTCGCCGGTTCTGCTGTGCGTAGCATGCTCGTAGCATGCTTAAACTTCCCGCCACATGTACTCTGTGCGCTCAGTATTCACACGGAAAACGGTATGAAAAATCTGTGTGAAACTTGATCCCGTATGGCGACGAGGTTTCCATACCTACTTTGGTACATTTTACTGTGTGACAGAAACTCGCTATTGCCGTGGACATAATGTTAGTGTAATCTGTTTCCCTCGGTTTTATACGTTTCCCCTTTCCGCCTGATTTCTGGAGAAGGCCGGATTGCCGTGACTGGAATATGCACCTGCTATGTTTGGAGTAGCTTGTTGTCATTGCACAGAATCATTTTCTGTACTCTGTGTGTTTGCCTTCTGCAACAAGGTTGTGAGATTCATCAAGACGAAGGCGGCAGAAGCAGAGCGGGCGCGTCAGGAGAACATCATGCGAGAAAAGCGTACGTGCACAGAGATGAGAGAGACAGACACAGAGACAGACAGACAGACAGACAGACAGACAGACAGATAGACAGACAGAGAGAAAGAGAGGGGGACAGAGATAGACAGACAGAGAGCCTGGACAGCTGTGAACGCAGTGAATGCGTTACATATTGGGCTGTTGTCAGCTAGTCGGGTACTAGTTTCTGTGAATCGTTTGGGTAGATGTGCCAGCCTTCTTGTCCCAATCAGGTTGTATTCGTATTGCACTACAAGTTGTGTGCCCGAATACAGCAAGTCTGTGTAGTGTGATGTTTCTGATCCCATATTTTGCCAGTGTGGGCACATGATCAAGTACCTGCGCTACCCAGAAGACAGTGTCTGATATTATGCTTCACGAGAATATCCCTACCATGTGGATTTTATTTTAGAAGCTTGTAGTGCTATTGGGTACACATGCATCGTATGGGCAGGACTGTGTTTTATGCCATACCAACTTTGTGTGTGCGTTTGTGTATGCATGCGCCGCGATGTGTCACTGTGTGGCTTTTGTAGGAGCATTGGAGCTACAGCGAGAGCTCACTGAGAAGGAGAATGCTGAGCGCCGGCGACAGAAGCAGGAGTTGAAGCAGAGGCGACGGGAAGAGAGGGAAGCGGAGCTTCGACAGAGGAAAGTCGATACTGGCGAGCAAGAAAAGTCCAACGACCCGTATCTGGAACGGTCGCAGAGCGGTACGTAGCAGTGAATGCAGGCCTTTTTGCTCGCCAAATGTAGTGATTGTTTAGGGATCGTCCCTGGCGGTCCGGTGCAGAAACTGCACCTTTGCACTGACAGACAATATTGCAATTTTGTGCAGGTACGAAGGTAAGCCTGTGTGGTGAAATCTGGCTTGACATGCACAACGTGTCACTTTTGTCGTTTGTGTGTGCGTATGTGTGTGTGTGTACGTGTGTGTGTACGTGTGTGTGTACGTGTGTGTGTACGTGTGTGTGTGTGTGTGTGTGTGTGTGTGTGTGTGTGTGTGTGTGTGTGTGTGTGTGTGTGTGTGTGTGTGTGCATCTCTGTTGGTCAACTACAGCAAGCAAGGAAAGGCATGCTGAACAGCAAGGATCATGCAGCTGTAAGTCACCTGGCGCATATGCAGAAACATTGATGTGCGTGTGCGTGTGTGTGTGTGTGTGTGTCCACGTGTGAAAGAGAGATGTTATTTTTTCAATCTAGAATTTAACTTTTCTAAGTAAAACTTTTAAGAATGTTTTGTTGTGATTGAGCATCTGAGCACGCGGCTGTTTGCTGCAGAGAGCCTATGCTCGTACAGTAACTGTATTGCTGCTGCCCCTGGTGTATGTGTGCCCTGCAGGTCTACTGTGGATACTCATGTTGTTTGTGGTGCTACTCGCGGCGCTTGGCGGGGCATACGCGTTTTACTGCATGCCCGACGATCGAGTGTGCCGCGAACAGCTCACAAAGTACTCGCAACAGGGGACAGAATTCATGGACAGGTTTGTTGAACAGTTGAAGCTATCCATTGAAAGCTTGAAGCGGAAGTTAACGTAACAACATAGGTACTAGGCTGCAGGACAAGTCGGCACAACTTAGTGCTTCTTGATTGAATTTTTACTCCACTCTACTTTTTTTGTCAATAGGTTTTTGTTCTCGTCCCGCGTTCCATGGCATTGCGCCTCCCGTTACTCTTCATGCTGGTACTCCTTGCTTGTATGCTGATCTACGCTTCTGGTAAGCCCTGGCATAGTTACTGACTCACTCAGTGCCCTTCCGCTGCCTGATAACATGGCAGCTGGTGTACGATCAGCTGTCAGGTGGCAGCACAGTGCACCCGGGCACAAAAGCAGGCATTGAAGGCATCCGTGTTATGATTTGATTTATTTTGATTTATTTAGAAATTTTCTCCTGCTGTGCAGATATGGCGTATATCCGCCGCCCCTTCAGTGGCAGTTCTCTGGAGCTCAGTGTGCGAATAGGTGGAATGTGTGCTTCGCATTCGTGTATCACGTGTGTATGTGTGTGTGTGCGTGTTGGCCTGCTCAAAGGCTTCAACGGGCACCGAAGCCATGAGCCACAGGAGGGCGAATTGTTTGATGTACCTTTCGTACAGTGCTGCTCAATGAAATCCAATGACGGGAGTCGAGTGTGCGCCGGTCACTGTGCGGCTCCTAGACCTGCAGACACTGGGGTGTGCCCTGGTGCCTCTCTTTCTCTCTCTCTCTCTCTCTCTCTCTCTCTCTCTCTCTCTCTCTCTCTCTCTCTCTCTCTCTCTCTCTCTCTCTCTCTCTCTCCCCCCCCCCCCCCGCCCCTCATTCTGAGACCAGTTTAGCCCCTTCTTTGGAGGATTTGGTTCAAAGAGCGAATAGTGAATACAGTGCGTCACATTGCACTTGTGGCAGTTCATCTTATGACTGCTGCCGTGACCAACTAATTCAACTATGCCCGCTTTCTCAAGACCGCCGTGAGCCTGAGTCCAGAGTGGTCGGTCATCTTGACTGCCTGGTCCGGAGACTTTCCTCATGTCATCCACATGATTCGACCGGCTGGTGATAGGGCTCTTTCAGTTGTTACAGTAAACCTCCCCAGATCTGGACGTCCCTAATCCGGGCACTTCCGTCTACTGGGTACCTTTCTGACCCAGCATCTAGAGTCACAAAATGGCTTTTCAACGAAAACAGCCCCAAAACAGTCACATTGATTTATAGCATAAACATATTTTCTTGCATGCAGTAAGTGTGTAAGTTCTGAGTAACGGGCAGTGCTCGGTCCCAACCTGCCCGGATCTGGGGAGGTTTACTGTGCTCTCTTTCATGGCACTGTACATGTAGGCAATCACCAGACAATGATGAATATATCCATTGGTGGCTGGCTACCAGGGACGACTCCCTGGTGTACATGTATGTTAGGATATGTTGGAGGGAGTTGTGGTTGCCCGTGACAGTGCTCAAAGGTGCAGCGCCTACAATGTAGCAGGGAGTACAATACCGGTATTGTACTACTCTCTGGACTTACTCTAGTACACACAATTGAGGTTCACGGTTTTAACGGTTTTAGCCGATCATCAGACACAGACAGCAACTGTTCCTGTCTGATGATCGGTTAAAACCGTGAAACTCAGAGTTACAGCAGAAAGCTGAAACGCTTTAATACCGGTAGAGGCCGCTAGAAAGTGAACCCAGGGGGTCGGATTTCAGTTGCCAGCGCTGTACCTCGGATACTAAGTACTGTACCGGTACACTTTCCTGTTGCCCATGCACGGGGGTAGATATCTCTACTGTACGTCTTACCAGAGTTGTACAATGTACTTGCATGATGATGTAGATCTACTGTATGTTATTATCATGGCTGTCACATTGTAGTAGCGGAGAAGGCGTCGCAAGTACCAGTATTTTGCGACTCTCTGGTAGCAACATGCATACTTCAGTGAAGTCCCAAGACCTTAGCAAGTTCGACTGCAAAGTGCAATGCCATGCAGTGCAATAGCAAAGTCAACCTCGCGAATAACAACCTCGGGTATAGCAACAAGAATGACCACACTACAATGTACTTCACACGTACGAGTAGCAGCCATTTTGACTTCGTACATGTACTTTCTTCCACGTCCCAACTTTCCTAAGCTTGTGTTTGTCAAATCTCAACACAATTGTATACAATCTGTACTAACAGCATGAAACAAGCTTTACTTTTACAGTTACTCCTTCCTCGCAACACGCGCTCGTAAAGTCGTTTCTCATGCCCGCGGTCGACGGTCGAGGGTCGGATCAAGTGCATCTTGATGTCCAGCTCAAGAGCACGCATGTCGTGTTGTAGGCCTTCCAGCCGGGACTTTCCCTCACCATGCAGCACAGAGACTAGGGCGGTCAAATCACGTTGTTCATGACGTAAGAAATCTGCCATGTGGGCGCGCCACATACCCCATGTAACCAGTGTAGGCCGCGCCGCGCGCTGGTCAACTCCAAGCGACCTTGATGGCATGGACCACGCTCATTCCTTGCTGTTGCAGATCTACGTGGATCATCAGCATGTAAACTAGCCGTAGTTCCTGTTGAACCATGTTCGGGATGAGCGAGGTTAGTGTGAAAAAATGCATCCCTGTTCGTACTGCACGAGGAAATATCTCAAAGAATTCTTGCCAATGCAATAATGCTAGCGCTATAACGATAGTTTCTGCATGTTCTGAGCAGAGCATGGAAGACATATAATGCATCTTACCTCCTCCCTCATGGTCCGTTTCGAATACCGCCTCAGGAACGATCGTGATCGTGTGCATTCAGTCCGTGCGCCAAGCCCTTAAGTAGCCTGTTTTTTATTTGCAACCGCGGGAAAAATCGAGGTGCAAAAAGATGACGACGACACAATTGTTTTGTTGGTATTTTGCAACCTTATTTGGACCTGAACTGGCGTGTGCTGGAGGAATCCTTGTTCATTACTTGGTTTGCTGCTGAGGTATGTCCCTTTGTCACCTATGGCACTTTAGCTGAGGTTCGTTGCGCCCAACTGTAGACCATGAAGACCTGTGTTTGCACTACATATTTTTTCGTCGTAATCGTACCATCAACTTGCTTGTCGTGCTGGAGTGGATAGCATAATCGGACACTCTCGGCTTATGCTCTAAGCCAAAGGTAGATATATTTGGGTTTGGATTCCCAAAGCACATCCCAATCAGGCTATGCAAAATGGAGCGGCCCACAATTTCGTGGAGGTATGTGGAATTGTGTGGAATTTTGCACTAAAGTAATTGTGCTTGAACAAGGACGTTTTGGCTGCTTATTTTCCTTGGGCATCTCGACATTGCAAACTAGTCCCCTTGCTGTTGTGTCTTCGACATCTAAACGGAATTTCTATGTTAGTCGTGTGGTTGGAGTCCAGATTTTAATCAAAATCCAGCAGTATTCCTGGCTGCTAATCTAGTTTGCTAAAGTTCTGGCTAAAGGTAGTCTGTTGAACTGTTTCTTTTGTATGTACCATGGTAGGACGTTCATTACATAATTATAGATGGAGTACATAGTCAAAGAAACTTTTTATGTAGTTTAGCACAACTGCACAGAAGTGCAGGGCCTGAAAGAAAAGCAAGAGCTGGAGACTCAGCGTCCGTAGCATATGCGAATGCATTGTGAGAGCATGTGTGTTCGATTCAGCATCACACACATATGCACACACACACACACACACACACACATACATACACACACACACACACACGCGCGCGCGCATGCGCGCACGCACACACACACACGCACACGCGCACATCTGGCGCTGGTTGGGTGTTGCATACTGAACATTCTGTACTCTGCAGCCTTATCTTGATCATGTGTGATAGTTGTGTCACAGGTTTTTGCCGTATTTTCTGGATTCTCTGTGCTTTCTGTAGATGGTCTTGTGCGCTCGTCATCAACAGCACTACACTACTGTAGGTCCAGTGGGCCAATCAGGCTGAACGGCATCATCCAGCTGTAACTGGGGTGTAGGTAAGTGTCTCTGCGTGCTCTGATGGTCGACTTGTGGCTTCTGGCCTTCAATCATTGTTCTTGCACGGGACCTGCCTCGCATACCCTGTGGTTCACTCGTGTTGGCAGGCTGTGATGCACAGTGGAATCCTTGATGTGGCACTCGGTCTACATGTATGCTGTTGCACGCAACAATATTGCTACTGATGGGCTTTGGTGTGATGCTCTGAATAAATGTACCATGAAAGCCTCTTGATTGGTCTCCGCAGTATATTCGCTTGCCTGGCTCGTTTTTGTCGATATTATCCACTGTTGCAATGGAGAACTTTGCGTGAGGTATCTCTCTGTTCATTCCGAGCTCTAATTTCTTATCAATGATGGTCTTTTGATATCGCTTGTAGGAGTCGACACCTGCTGTTGCGCCGACTCGAGCTAGTACTCGCATGACCTCGCTGGAATTGCTATGTGCATCCACAAAGACCGAAAGAACAAGCTGGAAAGGGTAAGTGCATGCTGGTGTGCTTGCATGCATCATGCATGATAGCACAAACAAGCACCTGATCCTCTTTGCACGGTGGTTGGATGCTTGACTTCCTTCTGACTTTGATTGGCTGTACATCATCAGCCAAATGTATCCCCACAACTCACTGTCCACACTATCCACCACTGCGTCCAGCTTCATTTCCGACAGTGAAGTTAGAACGTTATGCTCTTTGTGTTTGAATTCTTGTGCTTGACTTTTGATTTGTGAGCGCATTGCAGCCGACAGCTCTGACACGAAGGATGATGGGCCACTGGGTTGGCTTGTGTGCTGTGTGTGCTGGGTTTCATTTTGTGCTCTGTGTTTCAGGGTCTGGGATCGTGCTACGGCGAGGGAATTGTATAAGCACAGAACTGTGTCACACCCTGTACGGTACAGGAGCGTACCTCGTTTCTTACTGGTACCATATGACCCATGGCTGAGATGAGCGCCAAGCTTAGAAATAAGGCTGGACAGTAGCCACCGGTTGTTGCAGTCGATGGATGGTGAAGAAGAGGTGAAGAAATCAGCAGCCGTTGCCAGAAGAAGAGAACGGTTCTCGAGGAATGCAAGACAGACGAATCTTGCTGTTGCCAGCAATGCGGACTCCTCGGGTGAGGTGCATTGGTGCATTTCGTCTGTTATACTCTGCACCAGGCTCTCCAGCTTGAAGTCAGTAGTCTGACTGTCCACCATATCCAGTTGGCCTTTATAACAGGCTAGGCAAAAAGCACTATCCGCGGTGACCGTAAGACCACGCTCAGCGTGCAGCTGACGCTGAACTGCTCCGACGTTCGGACATTTACGCTTAACACCCCTTATTTGTGCGCCACACATGGTGCATGTGGGCCTGTTGCTGTCATGTAGCTGCATGTTATGCCGGTTGCAGAGACCCGCTGGCTGATCATTTGCGTTTACTTTCACGTTAAGCTTCTCGGCCAGCTCTACTGCTTGTAATGAAACTGTGACATGCCGTGGCAAATCACAACCATCTACTGAGCAGTCTTGTATTGTTGCGGGTGCTGGTGCCGGTGCTGCTGGTGCTGCTGCTGCTGCAACATGCTGTGCAGGCATCGCGTCTGTAGGCTGCACGTTGTCAGTGACAGGCATTGGCTCTGCTGAATGATTTATGAGCCTTTTCATGCATTTCTTGCAGATACATGCATTTCGTGGTATTGTAGGGTGATGTGCATATTCCCAGCATTGCGTGGTCTCGGGGTGGGCATATCTGCCATCAAGGGGAACATCTTGGCAGGCTACACATGGTCTGCATTGCCTGTCAGGATGCAGTTTCGAGCCCTGGCTTTGGCGGCCCATTTGGACTTGGTCACAGTGCGGACACTCGTGGTTTCTTCCTGGCCTATAGCAACACCATCTGTCCGCCCATTCGCGTAGTTTTATCAGAGATAGAGCCTTGCAAAATAAGACGGCCCACAATCTCCTGAGACGTATCTACGAAATGGGAAATTGAGAAGAGAAACAAAAGGGCACCGCAACGACTTGAGATGTCGAATATCGAGGTGCACTTTCGAAAAATGTGCTCATCGCTCACCCTTATAACACCATAACGGCGCAAAAGCAATCGATATAGGAGGATAAGCCTGTATTCTCGAGGTAACCAATAGTCGAAAATTGAGAATAATTCGGTATGTCACTAAATTCGTCTTCAAATTTCCCGCGGTTGCAAATAAAAGTGCAACTTTTAGACGACTTTTTCGAACTTGGCGCACGGACTGCATTGTGTCGTGCACCAGAAAGCATTATTCTACGTCACGATCCACGTGATTTCTTCATTCCTCTTGCAGTAAAATCCAAAAACTACACGCAAAAATTCAGTCACTTTTGCATCAACTGTTGCACTGAAAAATGTTGGTGGCGGAAGGAGAAGCTTGTCGTTTGGAGTGACAAGTGATCACCGCTGCTTTTCCTTGTCAGAGTCAACAAAACACTTTGTTCTGCAGCGATGGGAGTGGTGTTGGAGTAGAAATTGCTGACTAGACGTCGCGGAGGGGCGAGCTTTCCTGCGCAGGTATGAGTTTGGACGTAGTTCAGAATGGTCGAGTGGAAAAATTCAAAATTGTTTATTTCAAGAAAACCCAAAAAGGATGATGGGGGACATGTCCTCAGTGCTAGAAGAGGTGTTCTACTATCTGCCGGTGTATAGTGTTTGCTAATTGAGGACGTAGCTCGCTGTTTTATCAGCGCTTGTAATTTGGCTAATTTCAAGACGATCATTTGTGGCGTCAAGGGATGATTGCCCTCGTCTTCTGGGATGCTGGCGTGGCTAAGTGGTGCTGCCCCAAGAACTCTTCTAAGGTGAGGTAATGTTGGCTTGATAGAGTTTTGTTCGTAGCTTGTTCTTGTACGCTGTGCCGTGGCTCGTTTGTAGACCCATAAATCGTGCCAATATTGGGCCAATATTGAGGGGTATGCCAATTTCATGGTTCCCCTCAAAAGATTTTGTGCGGGCTTTGGAATGTCGATCTACACCCCAAAGCAAACCTACCTGCAAAATTTGAGCGAAATCTGAGAGATCGACTTGCACATATGTTCTGGTTTTCTCAGACATGCTCTCTTAAAACATAACTTGCACGGCACAAAACAGAAAAGTGAGAATCATCGTACACACCAAGACAATCTGGACGTGATAACAAGTGACAAAATACAGCTGACTTTTTGCTCACGTCGCTCTCTTCCGTCTCATCCCGCTCCTTTCCTTCGACCTCCTCCGCCTTATCCTCGTCCTCCGTCTCATCTTCATCATCATCGTCCTCATCACCACCATCACCATCATCAGTCACTTCCTCATCATCCGTTTGATGCTCAGTCTCACTGCACTCCTTATCAGCCTCCAACATGGCTCCATCATCTCCACCAGCATCACAAGTCGTTTGACCGCTGCTCCGCGTCACCGTTGCTGGGTTCTCTGCTACTGCACACCCATTTCCACTGTCCATTTTGCGTGGGCCAAGTCCATTCCGTGCATAAATTTCAAGTGAATAGTTTGCTGTGCTTCTTCTGGGTCTATGGGTGAGGATATTGGTTTCATTTTGGTTTGTCGATGATCTCCCTCTCTGTCCAGACACAGTCGGCACCGTGGATCCCAGCACCGGGGGGACCACCGTCTCGGTAGTCACCAAAGGTAAAGGGGGTGGCTCAGGCGGAGGCAAGGGCAACTGCCGAGGTGAAGGTTCAGTGTCTCTCGGTGGCCCCTCCTCCATTCCAGGACGATGATGTTGTGCTAGAGTAGGCTCCGCTGCCGTTTGCAGTGGGTCGAGAAGTGGTGGCCAGGTCAATGATGGCAAACCCACCCCAGCCCCAGCCACCCACGGCACCCCAGGGCCGGTGGTGGCACGGGAACAGGCGGCGCTGTCGGCACAGCGTGTTTGTCTACTGAGCTAACTGGGTTCTTACACGGCCTACCACGCTTTGGCCTCTTTGCTCTGGCTGCTGGTGGTAATAAGTGCAACGGCACATGTTGTCTGATACGTGCGTTCAGGTGTTGAAGAGTCCTACCAACGTACCGGGCAGCACAATTCCGGCACTCAAAGAGATAAACCAAATGGCTTGAAAGCTGGGGAGGTAGGACATCCTTCCTCACCATGAACGCACGTACCGTGGTGAACACGGGGATGAAATGGGCAGCAAAGTATGTTTTATTGACTAGGGTCTTGATAGCTCTGGACATGCTGACAGAATGATGAAGATGATGAAGATGAGACGGAGGACGAGGATAAGGCGGAGGAGGTCGAAGGAAAGGAGCGGGATGAGACGGAAGAGAGCGACGTGAGCAAAAAGTCAGCTGTATTTTGTCACTTGTTATCACGTCCAGATTGTCTTGGTGTGTACGATGATTCTCACTTTTCTGTTTTGTGCCGTGCAAGTTATGTTAAGCAGTTGAAGGTTCTGGAAGCTGTATGTATTCGTGTGCATAATCCTGTTCTTTGTAAACAATCATACTCATAAGTCATAGTTCACGACTGACTCCCTGCTAGCTCAGTTCTGCTAGTGTAGGCTGCACGATCAAAAGCATTCCTATGACTATGTCCCGATGCTGCATGCTGGTCGACATGGTCCTTCTTATTCCCCGGTCGTGCATGCTCACAAGGTCCATGCGGATCCAGGCGCTAGGCAACATGCAGAAGGGGGCTTCATTGGCTTGTTCATTGTTGTAGCATGATCCTCACATTCCTGCACTACTCTTGGGCTAAGGCCTGCGGAGAATCCATAAATACAAATACAATCTGTCACCGTGTCCCCTCGCCCTTCACAGCCAAGGAGGAGTCCAGGTAAAAAGGAAAAGTAACGATTATAACATGGAAAGGATCGGTCGGTAAAGTCTCCCCCCCCCCCCCCCCCCCCCCCGCGCCCGCGTCGTCTCCATATCGGCGGACATGCGGACGCGACGGGCGGCAGTTGACGATGAAGAGATCCCCCCCCCCCCCCGGCCCGGCTTGCAGCATAGCCGGGTACCCAGATCCCAGTCTCCTGGGCACCCCGGGACTCGGCCGGGTCGCGGTAAAATCGGGGAAGCGAGAAAAATCCCTTGTTGTATCCATGGTGTTACGATGACGCATAGAAAGCTTCTGTACGGGTACGCTCACGCACCCTGCATGCTGACAGTGCCGTGCATGCAGAATCTAGAAACAGAACGAGCGAAATCACAATCACTCTATGATGCTCTCACTTGCACTCAGCTGCTTTGTCGTGTTGGTTTTGAGTGCATGTAATGACTTGTGAGTTGTGTCTGCTTATCCCAACAAAGGCAACACTGTGTCGCTCAGGAATGAAAGTCTGGTCTACAATGGAGAGGAATATTTGAATATTGCTGTCGTTAACTCGTCTGAATGACCTCTGTGCGCCATGGCTTCTTTTTCGTTTGATCAAACATGCATGGGCTCAGAGATTGTATTGTCTCGTCGTCGACGAACTGCGAAAAGACGACATTCTCGCAGCGAGTTTTGCAATGCGATTGTTCTCAGCGCCGAGTCTCTTCTTGATGGGGAGCTGTTCGAGGTGCGTTTGGAAGAGATGTCTCCTGGCTGGGGCAGCTCTGTAGTCATTGGAGTGACCGGCGTAGTCGAAGAGGATGGTTTCAATGGCGAACTGCCTCCATCTGCCTGTGAATTACGCAGGAAAACCGTGCTCGTTTCTGGTAGCAGTGTGCTGGTGGATGGTGTGGTGGTCAAGGAGAACTTCTGCCCGAGCCTGGACAGCCTGGAGATGGGTGCTCACGTTGGTGTAGCAGTGGTGGACGAGAACTTACACCTGTACATCGATGGAGAGGACCAGGGTGTAGCCTACATGGACCTACTGGCCTGGAGACCTGTTCGTGGCGTTGTGGATCTGCATGGCTGCTGCGTACAGGCGTCTCTGTGTGATACGCACGCAGCAAGTAAGATACGATATAGCTCAAATTTATAAATGCAACTTACAGTATTACTCTATTATATTTGGGCTGATAATGTGACCAAAAGCACATAACCTGGCCTCCAGAGTGTGCAACCCCACTACAATAACATGGCGTGCCGAAGAACATTCAGGCTAAACGTCACCAAAATTTACGAATGTGCCAGGCTGAAAGCAAAGATGTAAGACTGACACAAAGTGAGTTTTCCATGCATCACTGCATGCACAGTGTACCTGCGCTCGGCAAAGACTCAACATTGGATGTGAACACATGAACTCTCCTAAATTTGAAAAGAAGTCTCGTAGTGCAGCGTGCGGGAGCGTTCCGCACAACCCAAGCATGGAAAAAGCCCAAAGGAGTCGGATTATGACCGTAATCTCGCGAATATAATACCATGACCGTATAATCCAAAAGTCGCTGTTTTCGGTTTGTTCGATTATAAGACCATGGTCTTCTGGCCCGCCGGAACCGGTCCGGTTGGTCAGGTTATTACCGGACCAACTTATTGGCCACCAGCACGTGTTTGCGACTGTAATGGTCATGTGTACCCACTATATCATACACAAAGTATAGAAGGCCATGATACTACCGGACCAATAGCAAAGTGGTTCCGGCGGTCCTGGTCTTATATGCGAGAGACAAACATCGCATCGACATGTACATGTGAAAGTACGGATATTAGTAGTGAATGCAAGTACAATGGAACCATGATGATCCTCGTGTGGTTTTGTGATTTTCATTCACTTAGAAGACCGTAGTCTTAGACCGTAGTCTTATAACCGGAGGTGGTCTTATATTCGAATTATAAGACCATGGTCTTATATGCGCAAGAGATTACGGCATCCATTTGAATCAGTGTATTATGTACTAAGTAACGGCCTGGCCTGATGTTCTTCACTGCTCCCGTGTCCGTTCAGGTGTGCTGGCCTACAACTACCCACTGCGATTGTGCCGCTATCCGGGCACCGATATTCAGATTGGTGCTGACCGGCGATCGGCCTCGTTTGAGCCGGCGGAAGCAGTGGGCAGCTTTGCGTTCAGCTTTGCTAACCGAGCGCTGCGCGAGAATGAGCTCTTCGAAGTGGAGGTGAACTTCCCGGTGCTCCGCGACATAGGCAGTCAAGTAACGTTAGACATTGTTAGTCATTTGCCGTCCGATTCGCATCCTCTGCCGGCGGAGGATGCCATGCTGTTTGGTCCGTCGACGGAGAACCGAATATCTGACGTAAGTTCGGCGATACTGCTGTTGTTTTCGCCAGTTGACAACTTATACTTGTGTAAATATTCAATGGCTTTGTTTGAATGAATGGTAAGTAAATTGTTACCGGTCAACATTCTGTGGGTCCTCAATTTGGCTCCACACCACGCGCCACTGGGTTGGTGCAATCTAAATTGCTTCGTGAAAACTGTTCTGCAATTGTGAACCTACACACACACATGCAAGTGTTTTTCTTGGTGTTGCCGTGTCCTCTGTGCTGTGTGGCTGTAGACGGAGGAACGCCTCGGCGTGATCGTGATGGACGGTGAGGTGTGCCTGCTGCGTAACGGTCTGGTGCGGCGCTGGGAAGCCAGCCGGGCATTCACGCGCTATTTTCCTGTAGTGCTGATTCACAACGGCGCAGCCCGCGTCACCTTGACGGCGCGTGCCGGGGAGCCATTGCCGACGAGCATGCGTGCAACGCGCGGATTTCAACCCGTGCAGGCTCGCTCCGGAGCAGCGGCGGCTGCAGTAGCTGTACCGGTGTATCCCGCCGTCCCCGTGCCAACACCGTTTCGCCCCTCAGCTGGTAAGGATAGTCAACATTTCCCTCAGAGAGTGTCTAGTTACGGATTATGTAACTCTGGTATTGGCCAATTGCGCATCACTCTGCCCACATTATGTAACGCTTATGCCACACACTGTCCCATGGCCTCATTTGAGGGCATCAGATTTCTTTAGTAAAGTTTGGGGCATGAATCAATGGTCCGTCCGGAAACCAACTGCAGTACAAAGTAAGGGTGTGTTCTCTCCACTCTCCATGGATGTAGCTATGTTACATAAGGATTATGTGCCCACCGGAGAACACGCATATCGACAGCGTACCGCACAGCGCAACTAGCCCGCAGCAAAGAGAGTTGATCCTTGCCACGCTCTTCAGCTCTGGATTTCTATGCTGCTTGAAGTATGACATGCATGTACTGATGCGATCCTTGAGTCGCTTGTGCTAGAATCTCGACTGTCACACTTTCACGCAGTTGGACCGTAACCTGACATCTAAATGTGAAATTTGCATAGTCTTGTTTTGCCCTCGTGCAACTCCCTTTCTTCTGAAGTCGACATGGACATTCCAAGTGTCAATTAATTACCACACAGTTCTGCTCGTGTTATGAAAAACGTATCAAAAGGACCTAGTTGACATGGCTGACATCATTGTCCGAATTGTCTCTGCGATGTCCTTCCAGGTAGCGTACCTCCGATACGTTTTCATGCTCGCACCGGTCGCTATGCGTATCTGTCCCCCGACAGGTGCAGTGCTCACCGTATATCGTAAGTTTGTAGCCGTGTGCTTTCTATGTATGTGTGTTATGTGTGTGTGTGTGTGTGTGTGTGCGTCCACGTGTGTGTGCGTGTGTGTGCATGTTTAGGGGGGGGGGGGGGAGTGCATTTGCGTGTGTATCTCTGACAATGTTTCTCGGTTCTTTTGGCCAAAGGCTGGTAACTTCATTGATGAAACCTTCATGATCGAAACAGCTGTTGGAAGGAGCTTAGCATCAATGAAAATCTTGCTTTGCTGATGGCGTGCTGTGGTAACATAATATTTCTTCGGACGGGGGAGGAGAAGGCTCTGTAGAAGTACATACAGTCAACTTTGCGTATAAAGACACTCGGCGGGGCATCAGAAAAGTGTCCTTATTCGCGAATTGTCCTTATACCCGAAGTCTCATTATATGTATTACAGTTAGATGTTACTTTGCTCTGGGCATGGAAATTCTGTCGTTATTCGCGAATTGTCGTTATATCCCCAGTCGTTATTAGTGAAGTTGACTGTACACCCATAGATGTACTTGGTACTTGTGGGTGTGTTCATGCTTTCTTAGCGGTATGGTGATTTGGTCTGTGTGCAACTGCTGTAGGCCCGACGTTGAGTTCAACTATGCAGTCGTTTTCGGCGATCGTCCCCTACTGCCCGGCGAGATGTTTGAGGTTCGGGTGGACGCGGTGGTGACCAAGTGGACTGGTGCGCTGGGCATTGGAGTCATGGTGCAAAATCCCGATAGCATGATTGCAAGTCTTCCAGCCACAATGGGTGATGTCACCAGTGGTACCTGGATGCTTGGGGGTAACGGTCTGAGCTGTGATGGCATACAGTGCAACGAGGAGATCGGTGCCAGCATCAAGACATTGAAGGTGAGAGACTGTGTGTGTGTGCGTGTGCGTGTGTGTGTGTGTTTGTGCACGCACGCACGTGTGTGTGTGTGTGTGTGTGTGTGTGTGTGTGTGTGCCAGAAAAAGCCACTTCAATCAGCTGTGTGGTGGATACCAGGCTAAAATTAGTGGCGATCAATTCATCAGCCTTGCAAGCTGTTGAATGGTGTAATCCCAGCACAAGTTGCTATGTCTAACATAGCTGTTCGCTATCATCGCTTCCGCGATGGGCAAGTCTGAAGTGTGTGTGTGTGCACGTGTGTGTGTGTGTGTGCGTGTGTGTGTGTGTGGGCGCGTGTGTGGACGTGTGTGTGTGTGTGTGTGGACGCGTGTGTGTGTATACGTGTGCTCTGTGTGTGTGGGTGGGTGTACGATTTTACTAACATCTTTTTCGGATTCGGCCTGTTTTGGCTGTTTTACGTATCATGTCTGTTAGGTGGGCGATCGTGTTGGAGTCCTGCTAACTCTGGACAACACGCTGCGGTTTGCTCTGAACGGCCGAGACATGGGCGCCAGCATGGAGGGAGTAGCCACACGTGTATACCCGGTCGTTGACGTGTACGGCCAGACGTCGCAGGTGACACTCTGCGACAATCCAAGGATACAAGGTGTGGCATGCTAGTATGCATGAATTCATGAATTCGGGATTGAGTGCACAATCATGCTTTGATGCGATAATAGCTGTACACTGTGTTGGGGCATGGCAGCTCTGAAGTATATGCTCACGAGCAGTCTGCATTCTGGGTTGTCCCCTTAGCAGTGGCAGGTGCGTCACGGGCGCTCAGTTGTTGCCCAGTCTTCCTGCATGCACTGCATCTACTCGAGTAGAGCGATAGGCAACACATTGTGCCTGGCAAGCGCACCTTGAAATGTTACGAGTATGCCTACAAGTAAGTTTGTTATGGATTGATCCTTCTGTCATGTTCATGCGCTGCCACATCTTCTTGGTTGTTCTTTGTTCATGCTGTGCAGCCCCAGAGGAAGACGTGAGCGCAGATGACGCCCACGCACTGCACTTCCACGAGGATGTGACCGTAGAAGACATCCTCCCGCTGCACTTTGACGAGTTGTGCGGCTCCAATGTGGTGCTGGCTTCGAACGGTCTCAATGCGTCTCGCGTGGACGCGTTCCATGAGTTCAACAATGGTGTGTGTATCACTCACAGGGCGCTGCGGCTGGATGAGTACTTTGAGATCACCGTGGACTACACTGTGTCCATCTGGTCTGGCTCGCTGGAGATCGGTGAGTTCCTGCTGTACCTAGTACATGCACTAGTGTGGTGGCTTGAAAACACCCGCAGTGATGTCCGTGATCTTAGAGTGTGATAAGATGGTTTCAGGCTGCCCATGGTCGTGACACCCGTGCAATCCGTGTTCTTACGATGTTCTGACCACCAGGCATATGCACAGTAGTGATGGGTATAAGCCTTAGTGCAACTACAGTGCGGCAGCAGCGGGCGTGCTGGGTCAGCTAGCTGTGTGGCACTGAGCTGTGAAACCCCCAAGACGTGTGACCACTGAGCTGTGCACCGCAATGCTGAACACTGGTGTATTCAAGGGCCCGATTTCGCTCAGCAACACAGCAGTTCTCCGTACTGACTTGCAGACGAAGAGTGCTTGTTTTCTCCTGCCTGAACTGTGTCATGTCTAGCCTCTCTTGGTTGGGGATAGTGACGCTACTTTAGGGTGTTTGGGTTCCATGGAACTAGTCCGACAACTAGCCGAGATTTCTTATTGATGATGGCTGTGTGTGTGTGTGTGTGTGTGTGTGTGTGTGTGTGTGTGTGTGTGTGTGTGTGTGTGACGTGGACCAGGCTCGTGTGATTATTGTGTGTGAATGGAGGTACTCTCTTGGTTTCAAGAAGTTTGTGTGATAGCTCACGTGTAATGCTGTTGCTTGGCCTGGACCCTGCTTCAAGTACATGTATCTATCTTGTTTTTCGATTTCGACAGCATGTTACAAGGTGAGGACGCGTAGTGCTCCTGACTACAACCATAACCCGGTTGGCAGAGTCCCGGTCTTGCGACCATTTGAACCGTATTGGGAAAACCGCGTCCTCGCCTTGTAACATGCTGTCAAAATCGAAAATCATGTTAAACTACCAAGCAAGGCGTCTGTGTATGTACCATGTATCTATCTATAGTGTCATTATTGATCTGTTCGGTTTGTTCTTTTTCTGTTCTGACTTTCTTTTGTTCTTCTCAGGCGTGACAACAACTCCCCCTGTTGACATGAATTTCCCGGAGACTATCTCGGATCTAGTGGGCGATACGTGGACACTTAGCGGCTCTGGCGTGGTTCACAATGGCGTCAACATCTTCCCAAACTACCCGCTCAACCTGGACCGGCTGTCGCAGGGCTGCACCATTGGCATGATGGTGCACGCCAATGGCCATCTGCACTTCTTCCTGGACGGCGCCAACTGCGGCAAGGCGGCTGAGGTGCCCCTCGGTGAGTCTGCACTGCGCAGTTTGTAGTGCATACTCTGCACTGCGTGGTCTGCACTGCGCAGTTTGTAGTGCGTAGTCTGCATTTAAAGTTTATACTGATGTTTCATTGCATGGAACATACCGTGCACATATATACAATGTCCTTAGCTTTAAGACTGTTACTAAGCATTTGGTAGAGCTCAGTGAAACAAGCTGTCTCTGCCACACCCTGTCCCTGCAGTCTAAACTGATTACGGTTCGTGTGTACCTTTGCCTTTCCACCGAAACATATGAACGCATGCACACCAGCATGCACACATAACTGTCGAGACATTCATTATTGTGTAGACCGGGTGTGTAGATTGTATGATAGCCTTTCAAGCATGGTTTTCCTTGTACATGTGTGTCCTTGTGCGCATGCGTTTGCATGTGTGTGTGTGTGCGTCTCTCTCTCTCTCTCTCTCTCTCTCTCTCTCTCTCTCTCTCTCTCTCTCTCTCTCTCTCTCTCTCTCTCTCTCTCTCTCTCTCTCTCTCTCTCTCTCTCTCTCTCTCTCTCTCTCTCTCTCTCTCTCTCTCTCTCTCTCTCTCTCTCTCTCTCTGTGCATATTGTGTAAACAGGAGTATACGGTATGGTCGATCTATATGGTCAGTGCACGGGGGTGTCTATAAACACCAACGCCGTTGCTCCAGCACTGAGCATTGCATCACCACCAGCCTCAACACCGACGCTGCCCTCCGGCAGCGACGCAGATGACGCGCTTTCATCCGGCTCTGCCAGCGAAGACCTATCAGACTCCTGCGACAGCGACGCGGCGAGCGACGACAGCCGGGGCGTCCGCACCGGCAGCTACGATCCGATTCACTTTCCCGGCGAGGCGGAGACGGTGCGCACGCGTGCCGGCACGACGGTGCGCGCCCTGCAGCAGCACACGCAGGCGTACAACGTGCTGCGTGACCTGCAGATTGCCGTGCGCGAGTCTATGCAGCACCTGGCCACGGCCGCCGGCACCGTGTCACCGGCTGCCGTGCTCAGCCGCAATCTGCAGGGACGCGACGCACTGGTGCGCGCCGAGATGGAGTCCGCGATGCTGTCCGACAGAACTCAGTTCAACTCTCGGCCGACGATGATCGCACAGGCCACGGATGACAGTGGTAGGTTGTGGAATGTCCCCATTCTCACGTGCACACCCTTGACAGAATTCACCTATGTAGCGACGCCTTTTGTGCAGAACACCTCTACACCTCTCACCTGCTGTCGCCGAATCAGACCAATGTGCCAATTCACATGTGATACTGGCAGCTACATGTGATACTTACTGGCAGCTATCTGTGATACTAAGAGTACATAACCCCAAGAGTGTGCAACTGCCTGCACAACCTCTATGCAGTGCTGCGACGGCAGAACTTCACAACACGTGACATGGTTCAAAAGGTTACACTGGCAAACAGTGCAAAGTGATCACAAGAGAGTTGTACCCAAAGCTGGGTTTCGTACAACCCTGTATCAATCATGCACAGAGTGCAAATAATGTGCACGGGTTCATCACATGATGTGAAGTTCTGCCGTCGCAGACCCCATAGCTGGAGTTGCACACTCTTGGGTGTTATGTACTCTTGGTGATACTGGCAGCTACATGTGATACTGGCAGCTACATGTGATACTGGCAGCTACATGTGTGTTGTCTGCGCTGACTGTAGTGCTTGTTTTCTGACATTGGTGTTTGGTTGCTGTACTGTCACTCTCTGATTTGCTGGCCTGTCTTTCACACCTTCACCGTCCACACCTAGTATCTATGTCTTCACACCCAGTGTCACTTACAAATGGCACTGTCCGCACTACTGCATCAGTTTAGTTCAGCTGTCCAAGGACAAGAGGACTGCTCTGGAGTGATTTGTGCCGTAGTGTCTCTGCCACTGTTTTAGCTTCTTTTCTTTTTTTCGCAGCTTGCAGACCCAGCTCTATGCTGTCACTGCTAAAGTAAAGAGAGTTGTTCACTGCAAACTGTTACACTAATGTCTTTTGTTGAAACTGTGGAAACCGTCGAATTGGTGTAGTACAGGTATTGTTTAACATGCTGCCTTTCACTGTGAATCCTTATTTACCATGCCTTGTTTTCTTGCTCCCCCCCCCCCCCCTCTCTCTCTCTCTCTCTCTCTCTCTCTCTCTCTCTCTCTCTCTCTCTCTCTCTCTCTCTCTCTCTCTCTCTCTCTCTCTCTCTCTCTCTCTCTCTCTCTCTCTCTCTCTCTCTCTCTCTCTCTCCCTCTCTCCCTCTCTCTCCCTCTATCTCTCCCTCTCTCTTTCTTTCTCTTTCTTTCTTTCTTTCTTTCTTTCTTTCTTTCTTTCTTTCTTTCTCTGTTTTCAGGTAGCGAGCTGATGGTGGCTGCTAATGAAACTGTATCAACTTCAGAAGAGACCCAGGATGATGGTGTGCTACTGCACTCGCTTCATGGCAGTTGTGGAAGGAACGTCAGCATCATCGATGGTCGACACGTCACACGCACGCAAGGCTACGATCACGGTGTTGTTTTCAGTGCCAAGCCGCTTGCCAACGGTGAACTTTTTCAAGTAGGTCTTCAGCGCTGTACATCATCATGACTGTTTCTTGTGATGAAGTGTGTTCGGTTTGCTGTCTGCTTTCACGACACTGCTAACGTGTTAGTAGGCCGTTCATCAGTACTGTCTGCACTCTATCATGCATGTACTTGTACAATGGAACCAAGAGTACATAACCCCCCCAGAGTGTGCAACGCCGATCCAGCTCTGCATAGGGTCTTGGTCGAGCAGAATCGGATCTTCTGATGTCATGCGTACACTCCACACCAGCGCAAGGCCGGTCTCAAGGCAGGGCACCGTTGTTTTTGATCCGATAGTACCCGCCATTCCCCGGGTTCCCCTCAGATGTGTACGGTATTATGACGCAAAGATCCGATTCCGCTCGACCAAGACCCTATGCAGAGCTGGATCAGGCGTTGCACACTCTGGGGGGTTATGTACTCTTGATGGAACTCACCTACATGTACAATTATGTAGTTGTTGTATACTTTATTTATAGTGGAATTCAAAACAGGCATGATGCCTAATAACAATGGACCCACTGTGAATAAAATGTTAGAGGATATTGTGGAAAAGTAGATATAGGAAAAAGAAAGAAAAGAAAACGGTACTGTACGTACTCTGAAGACAGGTGCACTGTGTGTCTTGCTTAGTGTGTGGGGCATTGTCCTGGACATGGCGGTATTGTTCCGTATTCAATCCTGTTTGGATGGTAGGATGTAGCTGGGATACTAGGTACTAGTACACTTTGCTGTTTCCCATGGCATGGGGGGTACGTGGAGTAGCCGAGTTTTCACTGTAGTATTGCTTTAGAGCATGTCCTGGATTTGGACACTGTTCTGTACCAGAGTCCTCAATTTCTACAGGTTATTTATTTTTAATACACCAAAACAACTGTTGCATGATAAAGACATGAACTTGTACCGGTGCAGTGAAACTTTGGTCTGAAGGTAGGTTCAAGTAGCTGGTATACAAACATGCTGTCAGGTACAGTGTGCTATCTGCATCTGGTACATGGTACAACCAAGTTGTTTGAGTTCGGAAATAGAAGACTTCCCACAGGCAAGCACAGCTCCTTTTTTTCTTTTTTCTTTTTACTGTCGACGATAGCGATACGTCGTACTGAAGTTGTGCACTGTTGTGTGTATAATTTGCCATCGCTGTGCTGCCGTCGCTGTGTTCCCCCTAGGTTGGTATTGGCAAGATGAACTCCAGTTGGTCGGGCAATCTTGGCATCGGTATCGTGTGGCGTGTGCCTAGCGACGCAGCGTCCATCACCGCATCGGCCACCAGCCTGTCACCTCTGTGCTGCGGCGGAGTGTGGCTGCTGTCCGGCTCCTCGCTCTACCACGACGGATCCTTGCACAGGGTGAACTGCTGTGCTGAGACCGAATGGCTCAAGGTAATCAAGTGTGTCGCCAGCGTGCATGCCAGGTTTATTGGAGTGACTGTTGTGCTTTGGCATTACTAGTAGTATTGTACTACAGTAAGTTATGATGTTGCTCTCTGGGCGTCGTGTCGCGTGTTTCTATCTAATTGAATTGTGTGTGTGTGTGTGTGTGTTTGATTGTGGGTGTGTGTGGGTGGGTGTACTTGTACTGGCAGGAGGGAGACATTGTCGGTGTGAAACGCAGTGCGAACGGCCGCCTGCACTTCTATGTCAATGGCAAGGAAATGCACGGCGCTGCCGTCGCTTGTCAAGCACCACCGGTGAGTGCAGAGTTACTGTAAAGTGAGATGTTTTCGCTAGATGTTAAATTTCGCTATTTTCGCGACCATCTCACTTTCTAACGTTATGAAAACCCTACACACACCATCCTCAAATGAAGTGGTCTCTTCGCTGCAAATTACTATTACATGTATCTCGATCAACTTTTCGACCAGGAGCCATCATCCGGATGAACACGCATCTGCGAATATAAATCACCACGAACTTCTCTGTACATTGATTGTCGACAGTACAAAACGATGAACGCTGGAAGAAATGGTGAAGAGACAGCTTCAGCTTGTCTTATTGATTGCGGTTCTAAAATTGTTGTCTCCTTTACAGTAATGGACTCGGATGGAGAGCCAAGGTTTAATTTATACAAAAAGAGAAAGCACCAAGGAACTACAAGTTACGCTATACTGTCCACTAACACCACCAGTTACTAAATAATCAGCTCATGCGATAACATTGCACGACACTGACCGCGGGTACTGACGTTCTACAACTAACTGGCTAACAGCTCTAGCACATCTTGGATGCGCACTCCAACAGCCTTCCAAGTTGGAAGGTTCTAAGTTATAGAAATAACATCATGTTATCGCACGAGCTGATTGAGCAACTGGTGATGTTAGTGGACAGTGTAGCGTAATTTGTAGTTCCTTGGACCTTTCCCTTTGCAGTAATGTTTTCTATGGTGCTCCGGGGTGTTTCACTGCAGCAGCTTCACTGTACATGTACATGTACAGTTGTATAGTATACAGTGTACAGTGTACAGTGTGCAGTGTGCAGTGTATAGTGTACAGTGTACAGTGTGCAGTGTACAGTGTATAGTATACAGTGTACACTGTATACTGTACACTGTATAGACCTTCTAAAATACGGCAAAGTACGGGCTCGCCAAAGGAAGACGGTTGTCGTCTTTTCTCTCTTATCTTCAGTTTACTCCTGTAACTCTGATGCTTCTGGCTTGCGGTGTCGTGTAGTGTTGTGTGTGAGGAAACTTCATGCTTCCAAAGTTTCCCACCGGTGTACGCGTACATCTTCGATGCCAGGCCTCCAAACTCTGTCATGAGTTTGCCTTCGAGTTCGTCTTAGAACTTACCCACCGCCTCTGTCTTGACCTTGCTGGTTAGAGGATGATTGGTGGAAAAGGAAGATACTTGGTTGGACATGTCATAGCTGCGCTGCATGGCAGCCATGTCCTCGTAAAGATCATCCGCTCAACTCAATGGATCAAACTATCCGTATTCCTTGGCGCTGCGTCAACACCTCTTAGTTAGTGTGCATAAGGAATCATTGTAGATGTCCAAGATAGATATTCCTACGTAGATGGGCTTGTTCAGGGCAACCTTCATGCGATTAAAATCCGCGAGCGGGATTCAAACCCAGCACTCCTGTCTTTCCGGGACAGCCCCCTACCGATTAGGATACCGGGAATCACACGCACACACGTGTCGCCTTGCTACACTGCTCCCCGCCCCAACAGGCTGTTCGGGTCGTGGGTCCCAGTGCCACGTAGGGCGCCAATGTACTATTACTCAATTATTCCAATCCTATGATTATGTACGGTGGGGGGTGTGTGTGTGTGTGTGTGTGCGTGTGTGCACGTGCGCACGTGTGTGTGTATGTCTGTGTGTTTATGCGTGCGGGTGGACTAACTGTGCTGCAGGAGGTATATGCCGTAGTGGATGTGTACGGCAAGGCTCAGTCAGTGCACGTGGTCAGCAAAGTCGATGAAGCTGCGTCTCCGTCTACGCCAACAGGTAATATTTAGAATAGGTAGTAGTAGCTGTCTTGTTGAGTGGTAGTACATGTAGTGGAAGTGGAGTTAATAATTAGATAAGTTTGTCATCTTTGATGATAAGCACAGGTTTAGATCTTGACTGCCTTTTTATAGTGTTGCCTTTGGCTTTGAGTAGGACCTTGTCTTGCCTGTTTCTTTTGTAGTATAAGTAATTGATATGATTCGTCTGTGTTTGTGCTTCTGTGGTCCCTATAATAATGTCTCTCCAGCTAAAGTCGGGATGCAGGTGAGAGAATGCTACTAGGAGGATTGTGGCATTGTTCTTGCTGAGCATGTCTCGTGCCGATGTCAGTTGACGGTGTTGACTGATGTCGATAATGTATTCTCTCTCTCTCTCTCCCTCTCCCTCTCTCTTTCTCTCTCTCTCTCTCTCCCTCTCTCTCTCTCTCTCTCTCTCTCTCTCTCTATCTCTCTCTCTCTCTCTCTCTCTCTCTCTCTCTCTCTCTCTCTCTCTCTCTCTCTCTCTCTCTCCCTCTCTCTCTCATGCACACACACGCGCCTGCAAACACACACACATGTTCTTTCTCTCTCTTTCTCTCATCCTGTATGAAGCTGACAGTCTCGATGTCGATTCTGCTCTACACCTACTTGTCCATGCTTGACTTGGTGATGTTACCTGTACAGGCTGTGCCACTGTACTCTACAGTCGAAGAGTTTCTCTGCCTCTGTGTTCTCAGCACATACACTTGTAGTAGTACAGTGTTGAAATGAGCTAACTTGTCCGTTGTACATGACAACCCATGTTTTGTTGATGCGAATAAAAAAAATGTGCAAAAATGATCAGCATGCAATTTCGAGGATTTTGACATACAATGTCATATCAGTGCATGGGACTGCGTTTGGCTAATTAGAAGTTCTGGATAATTCGAAGTTGGGGCCTGGCAATTTGAGGTTCGAATTAGAGGGAGTCTACCTGTAGTTGTGGTCTAGGTGCGCACAGCTCAGTGTTTACTATCTGTATAAGACAAGGGACTGACATACGTGTATGATAACATGTGTGTGTGTGTGTGTGTGTGTGTGTGTGCGTGCGTGCGTGCGTGCGTGCGTGCGTGCGTGCGTGTGTGTGTGTGTGCTATTGGCTGTGCCCACTAGTTGCTTGAGGACATACCCTCCCTGGACAGCTCACCGTAAGTGCTCTCAAGTGTTCTGTGCAATTGGCGCTCTGTCACAGACATACTATAGCTTTGGTCATGCTCTATCTCTGCTGCACTAAGCCAAGACCACAGAGAGGTCACTAAGATGTGCTCCTCTTCAGCTGGTAGTATCTTCTAATGCTACACACACCACATAATATGTACTGTAACAGCAGACATTTTGGTGCTGTATTTTCGGCAGCTTCTGTGCCGAAAATTTTACCGAAAATAAAACGCACCAAATATTTCAGTACTGTACTAGTACACTTACTTGGAAAACGGGTTTGCCGAAAATTTCCCTCCACCAAACCGCCGATTTTGAAGAATACCGAAAATATTGCACCATCGAAAATCTCTGCTTTTACAGTAACACGGCTGAGGATGCACCTAGTCACTGTGTGCTGAGATCCATGAGAGTGCTCCATGCCACCTGATGATTGCATAGCATGAAACTAGAGTTGCAATAAACTAGTCGTGTGCCTGGTAGTGTGCCTTGTCTTGGTCTGTGTGTTGTTGTGACCCTGACCAGAGGAATTCCTGTGCATGTTGACCCCCCCCCCCCCCCCCCCCCCGTGTGTGTGTACTACACACTGTAGTGTCTTGTGTAAAGGCCTGTCTCGTATAGAAGCCTGTTTTGTATAGAAGCCTGATTTTTCAGATACTCTGTCAACACATCAGCCTGGTTTAGTGTTAACATACATAGAGATATGTGGCTTGAATAGAAGCCTAGCACTGACATCGGCTTCTACAGGAATAAACACGGCTTTTATACGCTAAATGACGGTATTTGCTTCATGTTTCTTCACACTGTTCGTTCAGGTGTTACTTTCACCGGGTGCATGGCAGCAACATTGTACTGTCTAACAGGAGTCTTGTCGCTGAGCGAGAGAGAAGCTTCAATAATGGCTTGCTGCTTTCCAATCAGCCACTGAAGAACGGGGAGAAGTTCGAGGTTAGTGCCATCTCTTTTTTTGCTGTTTACTAATGCTGATTTCTAGGGATGGATCCGCGTTTTTACATAAAGAACTCGTGCCAGATCTCCTCTACAGCTTCAACCCCGAATAGTTATTTTCATTCCGATAAATAATCTGCAGTGTGATATTTTTCCTGCAACTTGCAAGATGGTTTATAGTTTATACCCCGGTGCAGCTACGGCCCTGGGAAGTCTGTATTTGCGAGGTTGCGGGTGGTGTGCCTCCGCATCTCTCTAGTGTGGAGTGGGGAATGAGCAAGGGTAAGCGTTCATCTATGCTGTTGCTGCTATCGCTGCTATTGCTGCTGGCAGGTGCGTGTGGAGAAGGTCTGCGACCGTTGGTCTGGCTCGCCTCTAGTTGGTGTGACCGCCTGCCGACCGTTAGATCTTGCTGCATCCGTTCCTTCCAACGCTCAGAGTCTTCCGGGTACTACCTGGTTGATGAGCCGTAGCAGCGTGTTTGTCAACAGAGTAAAGGTAACGACTGATCCAAAGTCTGTGTGCTGCATACTCGTCTGCACCGCATGCGTGTTGAGAGTTGAGATTTGAAAAGCCCTTCATACCGTATTTCCGCGCATATAAAGCCATGGCGTTATAGGTGAAACATCGCTGTTTTGGAGAAAATAGCCTCGGTTTTAACGCCATGGCGCTAAAAGTGAGAGACGCTTACATGAAAAAATCGGCAGAGTATGAACTTCGAGTACTCGTATGGTGCCGTTGCACGTCCATGTCGAGCATCCATATACTTTCAATTTTCCCTGAAAATTTCAAATTGTGAACCTATAGCGTACAAGGTGGCAAACAAACTTGTGTGAAGGTGCGGTGGCGGTATGGCATGTGACAGTGGGGATGGGTACATGTAGAGAGAATCGCTGCTACTGTAGGTTCACTGAAAGAATTGAACTCACCTTTAACGCCGGATGCAACTTCCTCCACATTGAATTTTGTTCACTTATAACGCCATGGCTTTATAAGTGAGGGTGGCCTTATATTCGGATATGACGCCATGGCTTTATATGCGCAGAAATACGGTAACGCTGAGTTTTGGTCGCCAGACACTATTGCAGGCACTACTGGACAATGTAATACAATCATGTATATAGTGGCTGGATTTCTCTGCTGCAGCTTTTAATACCTACTGGAATTGTGTGTGTGTGTGTGTATGTGTGTGTGTGTGCGCGCGCGCGCGTGCGTGTGTGTGTTGTTCAGATTCGTGATCACTGTGACTACCTTACTCAAGGCAGTGCACCTGTACCTACATGCTGGAATGTTGGGGACACGTTCGGCGTGAGCCGTCGCGGCGATCACCTCTACCTGCTGCACAACGGCGAAGAGTTTGGCGCTGCGTGTCCCGGTGTGAACAAAGACTGCTACGTCGTGCTGGATCTGTATGGCCCAGTCACAAAGGTGGGCTTCTGCTTAGTCTGACACCTTACAATATTCTATTTTGCCAACGTGCATCTCAAGGGATAGAGTAGCGTATGGAAAAGTGTACTCGCTCAATCGCGCTGTACTTCATTCCGTGTGTGATTATTGCGATGTTTTAAGGAGTGTGAAGTCCAATGTGGTATCAGTGGTGGGCCATGTGGCTATTTGTTTTCCATTAGAAATCGTTAACCATGCCGCGTGGCTTGTTTTTTGGGAGTGCCAAACCTGGGTTGTTACTGTGTCGCCGAGAATATACGCTGGCTTTGCAGGTCTAGATTAACTTACATGTAGTATAATAGTTGCTGTGATTCTGTGTATGTGCGCGTGTGTGTTAGCGAGTGCCGTTTCTTCTAATGTGGCTGGGACATGCCAGCTGGGGCCTGCCGGCTGGGACATGCCAGCTCGTCACGCTTAGTGCCCAGATGAGTACTAGTACTACCAGGTCTTCATCATGTCCTAATCTCTTCATTTTGCCTGCTGCAGGTGAAACTGTTGGCCAGCGGCAATCCTGATGCGGATGCCGATGACAGTGATCGAGATTCTGTGTCCGATACTGCCCCCACGTCAGGTTCACAAGATGAACAGCAGCAGCAGCAGCAGCAGTGCCATCTCGACCAGCAGAATAACGGTGCTGCTACACGGCAGTATGCTGCAGGTCACACGGCACCATCATCATCATCATCAGTATCATCATCACCGCCGCCAGGCACAGGGAGCTATCATGGCAGCATGGACACCAGCATTGCGCTTGCACACCGTACCTTGGCAGTGCCCAAGCAACAGCAGTCTTCGGCCATGTGCAGTGCTCGATACGTCACATCAGCCTTCAAAACCTCACTTGGACTTCCTGGTATGTATAGCATGTATTACTTGCAGTTGAGAAATTGCTCTCGTGCCAAATCAGAAACCGAGGGTACTACACTTGTAGGTTGAAGTCCTGCTTGGAAACGGAAGGACTTTTATCCGTGCTGCGACCCACAGCAGATTGGACGCTCATGGCCTGGCATGAGTGATGCAGTGAATGGGATTTTCGGTCTTTGACCCCTTTGTGGTGGGTCTGATCTGCTCACCTTCCACTGCTTTAGGAGCTGCACCTGCACCTAATCCTTGAGGGTGGTGGCGTTCCTATGGATGCGGAAAACTTATTCAAACCCGATGCTGTTGAAATCCTCCTGTAATTCTGTGGTGTCTGCTGTTGAAATCCTCCTGTAATTCTGTCGTGTCTGCTGTTGGAATTATCCTGTAATCCCGCGGTGTCTGCTGTTGAAATCCTCCTGTAATTCTGTGGTGTCTGCTGTTGAAATCCTCCTATAATTTCGTGGTGTCTGCTGTTGAAATCCTCCTGTAATTCCGTGGTGTCTGCTGTTGAAATCCTCCTGTAATTCTGTGGTGTCTGCTGTTGAAATCCTCCTGTAATTCCGTGGTGTCTGCTGTTGAAATCCTCCTGTAATTCCGTGGTGTCTGCTGTTGAAATCCTCCTGTAATTCCGTGGTGTCTCCTGTTGAAATCCTCCTGTAATTCCAGGGCGTCTGCTGTTGAAATCCTCCTGTAATTCCGTGGTGTCTGCTGTTGAAATCCTCCTGTAATTCCGTGGTGTCTGCTGTTGAAATCCTCCTGTAATTCCGTGGTGTCTGCTGTTGAAATCCTCCTGTAATCCCGTGGTGTCTACTGTTGAAATCCTCCTGTAATTCTGTGGTGTCTGCTGTTGAAATCCTCCTATAATTTCGTGGTGTCTGCTGTTGAAATCCTCCTGTAATTCCGTGGTGTCTGCTGTTGAAATCCTCCTGTAATTCCGTGGTGTCTGCTGTTGAAATCCTCCTGTAATTCCGTGGTGTCTGCTGTTGAAATCCTCCTGGAATTCCGTGGTGTCTGCTGTTGAAATCCTCCTGGAATTCCGTGGTGTTTCCTGTTGAAATCCTCCTGTAATTCCGTGGTGTCTGCTGTTGAAATCCTCCTGTAATTCCGTGGTGTCTGCTGTTGAAATCCTCCTGTAATTCCGTGGTGTCTGCTGTTGAAATCCTCCTGTAATTCCGTGGTGTCTGCTGTTGAAATCCTCCTGTAATTCCGTGGTGTCTGCTGTTGAAATCCTCCTGTAATTCCGTGGTGTCTGCTGTTGAAATCCTCCTGTAATTCCGTGGTGTCTGCTGTTGAAATCCTCCTGTAATTCCGTGGTGTCTGCTGTTGAAATCCTCCTGTAATTCCGTGGTGTCTGCTGTTGAAATCCTCCTGTAATCCCGTGGTGTCTGCTGTTGAAATCCTCCTGTAATTCAGTGGTGTCTGCTGTTGAAATCCTCCTGTAATTCCTTGGTGTACTACTGCCAAGAGTACATAACCCCCCAGAGTGTGCAACTCCACTATGGGTGCTGTCCCGACAGAATTTCAAGTTGACGTCATTTTGATGATGCAATGCGCACTGTACACAGATTATCAGACAAATCCGGAACCTGTGGTTGACCGTAGCAGATCGATCCTGTACAAATTATTGGAAAGAAAAACGTGTGATGCGTTGACACCCGTACACATGTTGTAAATCACTGGTGCAAGGAGCATTGCGTCATAAATAATGACGTCAACTTGAAATTCTGTCGGGACAGCAGGGTATGTGGGAGTTGCACACTCTGGGGGGTTATGTACTCTTGCTACTGCCTGTTGAAATCCTCCTGTAATAGATGCATTCTTCAACGGCCAGTACGACGAGTGTTACTGCCACCAGTGTTGGTGCGAAGGCACACAGCAGCAGCAGCAGCAGCGCTGCGCCGCCACCACCACCACCACTGGTCCTCCGTTGTCGTCCTCCTCATGCCAACCGGTGCCACAGGATTGGACATTGTTTGCTCTAAGGTGAGTGTTGGTCGCTGCGGTCAGGAGAGCAAGATGATTGTGTACACACTTGCACCATCATTCAGCCGCATGCCGTGCAATGACTTTTCCGCATGCCGTGCAATGACTTTTCCGCATGCCGTGCAATGACTTGTTCAAGCGTAGATCATGAAGTTGGATTGCCAACATTCGCCCCTTGAGAGTAGTAGATGGCCTTTAAGAAACCCTTCAGCCCGTGCATTATTTAGATTGCAGTCTTCTAATACCGGTATGCATGTCCGCTCTAGGCTGCCTTATGTTGCACAGGTCAGTGTTGGCAGGTCCGCAATGCCTGGCACTGCGATTTATTCATGAGGGCAATCTTACAGACCAGCAATGCTTTATCTATGGGAGAGATATGAATATGTCGTACAGGCTATTCATTTCTGCACAGTGACTTTGTGCCTATGCTATTAATATGTCGCATGTGTATCTGCTTTATGACCCAGATTACATCCACGTGCACAGGAGACCAGGGAGGTGTACACGAAATGGTGTACCGCGTATCACGGCACTTCGGCCGGCGTTGTGCGCAAGATCCTCGATACTGGCAGCCTCTTGGAGCCAGGTGAGAAGTGAACTGTGTGTGTCTTCTTGCTTTTGTAGATGCACACACGTGGCGTTGAGTTGTTGATGTTCAACCTGCAGCCCGAAGCTGTGAACTAACATTCTCTTGCTGGTAATCATGCCGTCTCTTTTCCCCGCTGCAGATTTTGCCATGAGAAGCATGCACTCTGATAAAGGTAGTACCAGCAGCAAACCCCATGACCAACAACAGCCCTGTGGCGGCGGTTCGGAAGCGAGTAGTAGCATTGCGGTGTCGCCATCAATCGCGCTAGCAACGCAGAACACCTGTCTCAAGCCTGCACGGTAAGGGCTCTGAAACTCAGGCTTGTTGATGTGCTCTCAGTCTTATGCTCGGTCTGTGGCGTGGTTGTGAAATGGCCCATTCTAGCTTGCCATGGAATATTGTGTTGGAATAACAAAAAGCGGCACATAATTATAGACCAGCTCCGTTTGCGTGTTTGCATGCTAATGTGTATTGTCCTTGTTGGATCTGTGTAATGTCTTCCTGCTCAGGTTTGAGCTAGCCAAGAGGCAGTATATTGGGCATGTAGCATTCAAAGTGTATGTTCGTCCCGGCAGTTATACGCTGTGCACGGAAAGCCAAGAGCACTCCTCTGAACTGCAGCAGCGTGTGGCACCAGACGTCAAGGCATCCAAGACATCCGCTGCGGCAACAATGTGGTCCACGAAGGAACGTGGCGCCGTGGAGCTGTGTGGCTTGCTGATCAAAGTTGAGCCAGTAGCACAGGCAACTGAACTCACAGCGTGTTCATAAGGCCAGTACATGTCTAGTCTAGTGTTTCAGTCCTGCTAGGTCCTTGCTAGCTTGTCAATGGTGTAGCGTTAGACCCAGGTTTATCAGTGAAATCCAGTCTCGAGACCCACATCCTATGAACCAAGTCATTTATTGTACCCCCCCCCCCCCCCCCCCGGCTGTACTAATTACAGGTTTACTTACACACGTGCACCTGCAAGCCAACACACAACCTAGGAGCGTGCCCTGCGTTCAGTGCAAGCAGGGCAGTTTGAGTGCCCAACTATTATTTTTATCCTCACGCCTAAGTAAGATACCTTCCGGTCCTCAGCTGTGCTGGGACCCTGATACTTATTTTTGCACTTATTTTCCATCCTTCATCAACATGCTAGTCCATTATTCTGTTCAGACCGTGCAGGGCACTGGGCAGCTATCACCATGAATTTGATTTTTTTTGAAAGCCATGTGATCCAGTGCGACACCAGCTATCCGCGCGTCTCATTCTGGAATGCACTGCTGCCAGGCTGTCGCTGGTTACGACATCCTGTTACACACCGATTCTTTTTCTAGTGCCATTTGTGAATTGTCAATATAACATGGTCCATGATTTGTTGCTGTGGCTACAGTGGCAAGTGAAGAAATTTGGACTCCGTTCACAGGTGCCCTGTTCCCGGGGCTGTACTTTGTTACGGCTGTCCGTATTGACGAACTTATCCTTCCGGATGAAATCCAAATGAATCCCTGCTTTCATGGTACATTCTGGTAGCGCACCCAAACTACCAGTGGATTCACGAAAGGTGAAAATATAATATTATTATTTTTGAAGGTGGTGTTCAAAATCACCAAAAAAACACCAAAAAACGTACATGTATTTTATGCAAGAATTTCATGAACATTTCAAACTATGAACTATAATCATGCTGCTCAAATGGTTAAAGTATGTACAGGGGGGGGGGGGGGGGGGGGGTAAAAGAGTAAGTAATCAGCGAGATTATCACAATACTACGCAATCGTGGTAACACCGTGCTATGTACATGGCTTTACATACGGTACAACGACCGTCTGCCGCTAGCGCTGCTGCTGTGGCCACAGCGATTTGTTGGCGCTTGCGCTTATTCGTCATCATCGTCATCATCGTCATCATTGTCTCCGTTGACGATGGGATCACCTTCGCCTTCCCCGTCCTCTTTGGGGGTGTACTTGAGTTTAGCGACATGACCCAGGTACTGCATCGTGTACATATTGTCATCGCAGCTGTGACAACATGCAGAGCACAACAACAATAGCAACAACATACTGTAAAATTAAAAAAAGAGCGGACCATAAGTTTACAAGTTATCTGTTTTGTCCAACACTAACGATTATAAGCAGGATAATGGCGAGTCAAAAGGTGCAACAATCTGTCCCCCGTGAATTCCGTGATTCCGCGGATTGCAGAATTTCCGCAGAATCCAGTAGTGTCCGCAGAATTAGAAAATCCCGCGGAATATTGCAGAAAAGAGAGAAAAACTGCTTTTTTTCTGGAGACTTTTGATGTATTTCACAGCCAAACCAACCCGCTTGTGACTTTCAAAATCAACTTGCACGGTACATTTTGGAGCTTTCAATTTTTTGGACCAGGATTGCGCAAAATTTCAGTTCAGAATTTATAGGGACAACAAACTTCGGTGGTGTTGCGGAAATGCAATCTATTTTTACGCTCATTTCCCTTGCAGAATTACCGCAGAATTTACTGTTTTCAACCGCAGAATTCTGCATGGAATTTCTGATATTCTGCCGCGGACTTCACGGGGGACAGAACAATTACCACAAAACTGACTGATGTGATAGTGACATTCAACGACCTGATGCTTAGCTGCATCACGTCTGGACTGCGCAAACCAACAGCCTTCCAACTTGAAAGGTTCAAAGTTATGAAAATTTCGGTAAACCAGTTTTCCAGATCCAAAAATGCATTTTACACACCGTGTGGCATGGAATGGTTGAATTTAGGCCGCGTTTTATTTTAGGTAAAAATTACCTGTACCGAAGTTACCGAAAATAAATCTCCACCGAATTTTTCCGGTTTTATAGTACATCATCATCATCAAGTAACTCCCTGCACTGAAAGCTGAAAGCAGGACTTGTTCCGTGAAGTACAGACACGCACGTCCGCACGCATGTCCACGTCCACACACACAGTCCCTATGCTCAAACCCAGCAAGCACAGACAAGAGGAAGTTGGAAAGATAAAACTCGGATGTTGAGCCAGGGTTCTAGCCAAAGGGGGGGGGGGGGCAGCCCCCCCCCCTTACTCTGTTTGCGCGCTCCCTGTGAAAAAGTGCCGTCCCCTACTCCTTTTCCAATTTTTGTGTTTTTTCATGCCACGAAAATGCAGTCGATAGCCAGTACTATTAGAGGGTTCATAAAGGCACATTTGTCTGGCTGGGGTGAAGTCAGGAGTTCACCCCGTACGTTGCATTTTGCACTGCAAGACAGTTACAGTCACACCTCGCTTATCCGGTCCTCTTTTATCCGGATCCCTTACCATCCGGAAGAAAATCGTTCGTTACTGATTTACAGCATACGCCATGCATACATACAGTATGTATGTTCGATTATCCGGTTCCCTCGCCTATCCGGATATTTTTTGTGGAAAACGGATGTGTGCAGTTATGTGAGGTCTGACTGTATTTTGAAAATGGAAAATGGGTTACGGGGCAACTGATTTTACAGCCAGGGAAAAGAAAATCGATTGGCAGAGTGCAACGAAGTTTACGCTTGTGCTTTTATTAGCTGGCTTTTGGGGCGTCATGCATACGGAAATGCGCTGAAATCGAAATTCCAACACGTATTTTTCAGCGCGTATCAGGCGCGTACCGGCGTACATGCCAGTCGTTTTGACTGGCGGGGTCAAAATATTAGTACCGTATTTTTCCGGTTGTAAGTCGACCTTTCACGACTAAAAATAGAAGGAGAAAGGGTGGGGGTCGACTTACAACCGGGATTCAACTTATAACCGGGAACTATCAGTATCTTTAAAAAATGAACTGCACTGCATGCACGAGTGCACCGTGTGTACACATTTGTGGCCTTTTTCAAGGATTGGGACGTTATACCCTCCGATAAGGAACGTTTACATGATTTGTTGATGTGTTAGTAGCAGGGAGTAGTGGTAGTGCTTCGCTGGGTGAAAACTTTAAAACGCAGAACTGAGACCTCCGGATACGGGGGTCGACCTATAACCGGGGTCGACCTACAACCGATAAAATACGGTACTCGAAGACGTCGCACGCCCTAAAATACAAGTCGAATTGCTGTTTTTCGCGAAAGCCCGAGCGAGCGCTTGGGCACGCATGCGTACTGCGCCCACGCGCCAGTTGTGAACACAGCGTTTGTGTCACATTTCGCAGATCATGTGTGGAGCTCGTGTCCGCTCGAAGATAAATTGAGCATGGATTGACTCCACAACGTGCAATGTGTGTACACGGTTCGTGCCGTATGACCTACAGACAGGACACCACCTCCACAACTCGACCACGAAAGGACGAGATGGTGGGGTGCGCTGGCGGTACTTTACGGTATGACTGTGTAGTACCTGCTAAGACACAGCAGAATAGTGCACTGCTGATCACTGAGTTGATCATTGAGTTGATCACTGAGTTGATCATTGAGTTGATCATTGAGTTGATCATTGAGTTGATCATTGAGTTGATCATTGAGTTGATCATTGAGTTGATCATTGAGTTGATCATTGAGTTTGTCACTTACAGCTTCTCCACGTCCTCGTGTTTCTGTGCCATGGCCTTGTGTAGTGACTGCAGTGCGGGCATCAGAGTGTTGCAATGCTCCTTGAAGGTGCGTGCGTGCGCTCGCAGCAGCGCTCCCGACCAGGTCAAGTAGAACTGCAGGTGGCGAGATGTCTCAAACAGGCCGCCCAAGGTCTTCAGAAGCAGCTCGGCATACTTTGCAGGTAGCTGCCTGCAGAGCATCTCCACTGCACACGAGAACAGGCCGGGGAGGAAGAACAAGACAACATAACTACATGTATATCAATATTCTACACAAAGTACTCCCCTGCCCCCCCCCCCACACACACACATAGGCATCTGAATAAAAAAATTTAAACGAACTTAGAAGAGCAGTATATAAGTGGTGCTTTTCAGGCACAATCTTCCTCAGCCTACTCAAGCTCAACTGATGAGGGGTGAATTCCCCGAAACACTGTGTATGGAGCAGGGAGTGGTGCTTTCTTGCAGGTTTGCCGAGCGGAAGGTGCGACGTGCTCCTCGTGAGCTCCGGATGGCAGTCATGAGTCAGTCAAGTGTCAAGTTCGGCAAGAAGCGTGTGCTCCTCGTTGGAACAACCAACTTTATGAAAAAAATTAAGTGGGAGAAATTGGGAGTAGGAGCAGCAGTAGCAGCAAAGCAGAACGCCTCACCTTCATCTGCAGGCACTGTCTCAATGACTCGCTGGATCATGTCAATCTCATTGAGGCGCAGACTCATGACCACGGCATTGAGCATCTCGCCCTTGTCCAGCAATGAGCAGATACGCGATACGGTGACATCGACATCCAGCTCGATCGGATCAAACACCACACTGGCATCCAGAGAATAGATCAGCAGACCTTCTGTGGAGGCAGCAGCCCATGCTCGACCTGGATGATCACACACACACACAAGCACACACACATACAAGTACACATCATGCACACATACATACAACTCTATTCAAACATACAGATCTAAAAACAAAAGAGAGGGGTGATGTTGCCCACATCACAGTGCGTTGGTCAAGCAAGCAGAACGACCAAGCGACGCGAATGTGATACAGCAGTGTTGGCCAGTGGAATTCGCCACTATGAATAACAAAGCGCCCAGAAGCGACAGACGAGCAGCCAGAGTCCAGCTCAGCGACACCCAGCAAGCACAGGCAGTGTCAGCTGCCCACCGATGAAGCAGTTGCTTACAACAAGCCACAGATACCCCAGCAGTTACGGGCGGTGCAGGGTGGTGCCAGAAGCACAATGGAAACAAACGCAGAGTGCAGTGCACTGCAGTGCACTGTACTGCAGCATTGTACTACAGTGTGTTGTACAGTGTACTGTATTGAACGGCGGCACACGGCAAAACTAGAAGGCACTTCTAACTAAGAGCAATAACGCACCCAGTGCCCCACTACGCAGGGAAAGGAGTAAAGAGCAGTTCTACTAGGATATTTAACACTATGTATTGCTTGCCAGGTGACTGCGTGAGAAAGAGCAGCTATGCTAACAACACCACTATCAACACAACACACTCTGCTGTGTGAGAATTTAAAGAGCAGCTATGCTAACGACACCATTATCAACACACCACACTCTGGCAGCTAGATGCAGCAGCAGCCTACCTGTGGGCGAGAATTGCACTGATTTGGTGCGGATTTCGGGCTTCGTTCTGCGACTACTCTTGTCACCTACACCAGACCAGCACACAGCAGCACATGCACATGCATATGTAATGCAATTCAGAAAAAGGGTGAGAAGGTACCAGCTGCATCACTGACATGAATCACGTTAAATGCTAATCACGTTAAATGCCAAACCTAGACGGCGAGACTTTGACGCTGGGAGTGTCAGCGGAAGGTGCCAATTTGTCACTGCACTTGCATATCGCTTCCTTTAACACCAGCATCCAAAAACATCCAGTGTGCACTGAAAACCATGACAAATCTCACCCCCCCCCCCCCCCCCCCCCCCACACACACACACAGATGCACACACAGAGTATGACACACACACACACACACACACACTTACACCAGCCCAGGCACAACTTTAATGCACACATAGTAGTAGGAGTGACGGAGTTATGGTTGACACTTCACAAGAATCTAGCTCAAGCTGGCACTCACCAACAGCCACGCCTGGCAGAGTTTTCTTCTGCTTCTCTTGATCACTGTCGCTGTCGTGATCAATCAGGTCTAGTGGACCAAACTCGGTCATGTTGGCACTGTTCAGGAACGCCTACACACAAACACACACACAAACACACACACACACACACACATACACACACACACACATACACACACGCACCACCACCACCACACAAGTACACACACACAGACATACACAGCAGCAGCAGCAGCAGCACACACACACACACACACACACACACACACACACACACACACACACACACACACACACACACACACACATCAGTACGTGAAGCGCAACGCAAAGGGTAACGATGTTATGTCTGGTCTGGAAGTGCGATGAAAACAACTCCAATGCACAGGGACAGTGCTGGAGAGTCTTCTTCTCAGACTAACTCAGATCTCAGTCCAGACTACCCGCTGGATTGAAGCAAAATTATTATAAACAAGCAGAGGAAAAAGCACTACCGGATATGCTTCACACCAACATGGCCTGCTGCATAAAACGGTGACCTCAAAACAGTCAACATGCAGAGGGGTTAGAATACATGTCAGTACAGAGCGTGGACGGGCATGCAAGTAAAACACAGTACATGACGTCATGTACATCTACTGTTGTGGACTGATTGAAATCCGGTGGAATGATTGGGGCCGGCGCCCCGTACTGCCTTAGTGCACGCACGCACTGTAGCTCACGCGCACACTGCAAAAATGGACCAGCAGCGCTCGTAGCTGCAAGGCCAGCGGCCCATGGCAGCTTGATTTCTCAATGGATTTCAATGTCCATATCTGTACGAGTAGTTGTGGGTTTGCATGCTGCAACCTAAAGCCAGGTAAAGCTAGAGAAGCAGCAGCAGGCACACATGTGGCATGTGCAGTGCTACTGCTGGGCAAGCTCAACTTACCGACATGCCATCGAATGATCGGTTTCTGGAGATCACAAACTTCTTGACCAGTGCCTGCACGCGCAAAAGAAATCATTATCAGAGCCAGATAGGATAACAAGCATGGCATCATTATCAGAGCCAGATAGGATAACAAGCATGACATCGGTCAAAGGTGGCGAGTGCATAACTGTACTCATTTGTCATTTTCAGTACTGAACTGAACATTGAATGATGCAGAGCGCACACTGAGAAACAGCGCTTGCAAGAAACTACCATACTTCAAGAAGCATTCATGTATTTGTAATTTTGTATCAAGCAGCTACATGTATGAAAACTTCAAACTCAGAAGAGAAAGCAGCAACAGCAGCAACGATAGCAGCAATAGCGAAAGCAGCAGCAGCAGGCATTAGACGGAAGAAAAACTACAATGTAGAATGGGAGCATACCTGTTGAGCAACGTTGTAGATGCAGACGAACTTTGAGCGGCCACCGGCCAGCAAGCAAGATCCATCGGCTGTGTAACACAAGTCGGTGAACGTCCTAGCAGCCACACCATCCATGCATACATACACAAACAGCCATACCATTCGTGCATACATACACATACACAACAGCCACACCATCCATGCACACACACATAGACAAACAGAGCCGGTCAAGGCAGCTCCAAGTAAGAGTGCTCGATGCACAAAGGTGCAGAGCAGTATATACACGTGAATGCCACCGTCTGACGATCGCTGAAATGCGCGCAACTTGAAGTTACTACACAGCCTTTAAGCTTTCCCCTCCGTTGCTTGTGTGCATACACAAACACAAACACACCACGTACAGTGAGGCTACAGCATAGCAGGGCAAAGCGTGCATACCCCCCCCCCCCCCCCCCTCCAGACTAACACTTGAGCGCACTACATGTGACAGTCATGATTTACATTCGTTGTCATCAGCAACTCAACAGCATGAAAGAAAGACTGGCCAGCTTACTTTCCGCCAGCAGTATGCTTAGCAGTAACCATGTCTGTAGCACGACGGCCACCACCGAGATCACGCCGACCCTCAATGCTGCCCTGCTGCTTGCAGTTCATGTCGAAGAACGTAATCGTCCCGTCCAGAGTGCTGACAGCAAACTGATGACCATCCTGGCGAAACGCCAGCGCAACAGCTTTACATGGACAAACGCACGCACGCACGCCATGTACCACACAAACACGCACACACACACACACACACACACACACACACACACACACACACACACACACACACACACACACACACACACACACACACAATCTTCCGTATATAAGTGTACTTGTACAAAAAATCTCACCAAATTAAGACCATTACTCTAGGCCCCTTTTCGCCCCTGGGCCCCACTGTATTATTGGTGGCCCACTTGGGTGCTTACATTTACCGCCAAATCTGGAAGCATACATTTGGGTCCCTTTGGTCATTCTCATCACAGTGATGGTCTGTGTTATAACAGTGAAGCCGGCCACCAGTCACGATGAAACAAAGATGATCTGTTTGCTTGCATTGGGAACCTCTACTTTCCTAGTATGTATCATATTTTCCGGAGTATAAGCCGTACCCAGATCTTTTTCGTCACAGAATACAGACATGTAGCCTGTTTGTCACAGAATACAGACATGTAGCCTGTTTGTCACAGAATACAGACATGTAGCCTGTTTTTCACAGAATACTGTTTGTCACAGAATACAGACAAATAGCCTGTTTGTCACAGAATACAGACAAATAGCCTGTTTGTCACAGAATACAGACAAATAGCCTGTTTTTCACAGAATACAGACATGTAGCCTGTTTTTCACAGAATACAGACATGCAGCCTGTTTTTCACAGAATACAGACATGTAGCCTGTTTTTCACAGAATACAGACATGTAGCCAGTTTTTCACAGAATACAGACATGTAGCCTGTTTTTCACAGAATACAGACATGTAGCCTGTTTTTCACAGAATACAGACATGTAGCCCGTTTTTCACAGAATACAGACATGTAGCCTGTTTTTCACAGAATACAGACATGTAGCCTGTTTTTCACAGAATACAGACATGTAGCCTGTTTTTCACAGAATACAGACATGTAGCCTGTTTTTCACAGAATACAGACATGTAGCCTGTTTTTCACAGAATACAGACATGTAGCCTGTTTGTCACAGAATACAGACATGTAGCCCGTTTTTCACAGAATACAGACATGTAGCCAGTTTTTCACAGAATACAGACATGTAGCCCGTTTTTCACAGAATACAGACATGTAGCCCGTTTTTCACAGAATACAGACATGTAGCCCGTTTTTCACAGAATACAGACATGTAGCCCGTTTTTCACAGAATACAGACATGTAGCCCGTTTTTCACAGAATACAGACATGTAGCCCGTTTTTCACAGAATACAGACATGTAGCCCGTTTTTCACAGAATACAGACATGTAGCCTGTTTTTCACAGAATACAGACATGTAGCCTGTTTTTCACAGAATACAGACATGTAGCCCGTTTTTCACAGAATACAGACATGTAGCCTGTTTTTCACAGAATACAGACATGTAGCCTGTTTTTCACAGAATACAGACATGTAGCCTGTTTTTCACAGAATACAGACATGTAGCCTGTTTTTCACAGAATACAGACATGTAGCCCGTTTTTCACAGAATACAGACATGTAGCCTGTTTTTCACAGAATACAGACATGTAGCCCGTTTTTCACAGAATACAGACATGTAGCCCGTTTTTCACAGAATACAGACATGTAGCCTGTTTTTCACAGAATACAGACATGTAGCCTGTTTTTCACAGAATACAGACATGTAGCCTGTTTTTCACAGAATACAGACATGTAGCCTGTTTTTCACAGAATACAGACATGTAGCCTGTTTTTCACGGTTCATTTGACCATAGTACAAGTAGTACCCGTATCTCCCCGAATATAAGTCGCACCTTTTTACACTAGACCCCAAGAGCAAAGAAGGGGGTACGACTTACAATTGAGCGTGACTTCTTACTGATGTGACTATATTGAAACAATCTGACTCGGACCTGAAAATGGGGATGCGACTTATAATCGAGTGCGGCCTATATAAATCGGGGAAATACGGTATAAGTCGCACTGACTTTTTGTTGTTGGGTGAATTAAGAGTGTTTAGAGTGCGGCTTATAGTCCGGGAAAACGCAGTACGTGTTTTCTATTGCTGACAACTGGTTTTCCACAACATACCATCAGAGTTGACTTGTATTGTTTCCTGCGCGCTGGAGCGATTCAAGACATCCCACGTGCGTACGGTCTTGTCCCAGGAGCAGGAAACAAGCTGCGCGGTGCTGGGCTGGAACGCCACTCCACTCACTGGACCTTCGTGTCCAGAGAGCAACTGCAACAAGCAAGCACGTACAGACACAGACCTGCTTATCACGACGATGAAGATGATTATGATGTAAGCTTGAAACAGCAGCTTGTGATGGAAAAGCACCATTCAAAAGTTGGCAAGGCTGAGAAGCCCATCATCACTCGCTTAGGCCCATCTCGCACCACATGGCTTGCAATGGCTGTACACGCATCAGGGGTGTAGCTCACACATGTGTGGTATGGTGACCATGTATCACTGGCAACCTCATAGCTGACATTTTTAGGGGTCAAACGGGTGTACCGGGTACCCGCCCGTTAATCTCAGGTACCCGTTTGTAAAAAGAAAAAAGAAAAAAAGGTGATCCTATCGTATTCCAAGACTCAAAATAGGAGTGCGGATACTCTTTTCCTTTTTCCTGTGCATTCCCGCTTTCGACTTTATCAGGCAGGAGCAGGCTGAAAGACAGGCTTGACAGTTGTTCTCTCCACTCTAGTGCAAGTAAAATCCTCGTACTGGAGGTTTTTGATTGTGATGTGAGAAAATGCAAGACTTGAAACTCGTTCAAGGTGGCAGCTGAGGAACTAGAAAGTTACGATGGTTCTCCGACATCGAACCTGCCACAGTACTTGATGAACTAGTGTCACCAGGCTGAGTGACCAGTCGGAGTGTCACAAACGGTGATGTCCGTAGGTGGTAGCTACATGTATGATACTCATGGTTCTAGTTTGTTCCTTCAATCGACGAGCTGAAAAGTAGTTCGAAATATTGCATACAAGATTACGGATTTGTGAAGATTCATTTCACGAGTTCAACAAGCTAGCACTAGCAGCTAGCTGGCCAGCAGCACATCAGCTGCGTCAGGCACCCCAGCTAGCTATGGGCGCGAACATCTTCTGAATGCAACGAGTACCAGTTCTCTGCGAACATAGCAAATAGGATTGCGCGAGATCACGGAAGTTTTGCTAAACCCCTCTGTCCTTGCATGGCTTGAATCACATCGATCTGCAGTTGATTTGCGTACATGTATCAAAATACATGTAGCTTGTAGGACCATCTACATGTACGATTGTAAGTTACTGCCTGTGAAGTTATGTACATGGGCAAATGCACGGATGACATTCATTTGGAACCTTCATTGCCATAATAATATTATGATACACGAATCAATTGCGAATCATAATGTAGTATCAAAATACAACCTGAGAATATACAAATTAAAATCATGATTTATGTGAGAAATGCGCAAAAAAATAATATGGCTGCTAAAGGGTACCCGTTAACCCGCCCGTTAAGAAAATTACCCGTTCGTTAGTTAAAGGTACACCCGTTTGACCCCTAGGTCACATTTTGCTGATTTTGACTATGTAGACAGCCATTAGCTGGTGTGGTGACCGGACTATGCTGACTGCACACGAGTTCCGCGCCTGTGCATGCAGAGAGCACCGGTGCAGTGCCTCTCAAAGGATAAGTTCATGCAGAGGGCACCGACGCAGTGCCTCTCAAAGGATAAGTTCGCTGATGCATTATCAAAAGAGACGCGTCACTGGCACGTAGAAAGAGCACACGCAGCAGCAGCAGTACTACTAGCATTATGGTAGCACTGAGCAACCCAGGGTCGGCCCACCGCCACTCACCTCCAGCAGTCGTCCAGTCTGCATGGACCACACAAACACTTCAAACGTGTCATGTGATCCGGCACACACCAGCTCACCGCTGCTATCCAGAGCCAAGCAGCTGAACTGAGCAGGTCGGGGAGACGCAAACGTACGAAAATTGCGATACCTTTTGTGAAACAGCAGAAATAGAAACAGCAGAGCACATAACTAGTACACCGTATAAAGAGTATGTAAAGCAAAGCGTGTGCAGCTCAATGTTTGCTCACATACGTGAAAGTCAACAACTGGCTGCATGCACATCTCCTCATCTCAAGAAGATGAGAAGGCACAGCATGGCATCAGGGCACCACCAGAACGACACACACACACACACACCTCAGACCTCAGACCTGCCCATCGCGGAAGCGATGATAGCGAACAGCTATGTTAGACATAGCAACTTGTGCTGGGATTACACCATTCAACAGCTTGCAAGGCTGATGAATTGACCGCCACTATTTTTAGCCTGGTATCCACCACACAGCTGATTGAAGTGACTTTTTCTGGCCAGTGAATCCCTATTTTTCATTTTTCCATTTTTTTTTCTACACACACACACCACACCACATACTCCGGCATACACTGGCTGTTGGTAACCACCCAGGAGAATGAAAGAAAAGTCAGGAAGAGACCGAGAAAGAGAAGAAAGACACACACACACACACACACACACACACACACACACACACACACACATATACACACACACATATATACACCCACCCACCCATCCACCCACCCACCCACACACACACCCAAGCCAAAACTGCACGGTTACACCCCTGGAGCGAAAGACAATCACGGATCATCAGGTGGCAGCAGCAGGAGCAGCTTACCGATGTAAATCAAACGCCCTGACAGTACCATCCAGCGATGCACTGATTACTGCCTTGCCGTTGGGCACAAACTGAACAGCAGACACACCGCCCGTGTGCTCCGTGAACGTCACAAAGCAGAAGCCAGTCAGAGTGTTCCAGATCTTCACCTGCACAGTAGAATACGTGTGTTTGAGAGACAGGACAGGACATACTGGGGATAGCATGGAGAACACGCACAGTGAACTCACATCACCGGCTGTCCGAAACGAACTAGGAGGGCATAGCCAGTAGAGCAATATGGTCAAGAACACAGCCATGCAGAGACTAGAGGCCGAGCACCATCATAAATACCATGCAGAAAGCACATCGTTTGACGTTGCTGCTGAAGTAGTGGCTGCATATGAGAGGCAGTGAGAATAGCCGCAGAGTGCTCACTCCCACTAGCACATCAATAAAGTAGTCCCACGTCACCATACTAATGTGTGCAGGAGTGTACTACTGAGCGAGGACAGAGATCATACTAATGTGTGCAGGAGTGTACTACTGAGCGAGAACAGAGATCATACTAATGTGTACAGGATTGTACTACTGAGCGAGAACAGAGATCGAACAAATAAAGCCCTCAGCTTCCAATGGAGTGAGTACAGTACAAGAAACCCATAATCAGTGTGTTCAGCAGTACTTTCATTTTGGCCAGTAGCCCACAGGCAGTTCAGTAGCCCACTGGCAGTACCGTAAAAGTCCGTAAATAAGGGGTCGTCCATAATTATCGAACTTTTTTCACGAAACGAAATAATTTCGTTATGGGGTGGGTGGGGGTTGACCAATTTCGTTTGAGAAAAGTTCGATACATGTACATGGCCATAGGAGCAGTGACGCACTTGCGACTTTTGTTGTACATGCATGTATATGTCAAAAAATTTACGTTCTGAGGGAGAGGGAGGGAGGGGTTGGGTCTAAACTAAAATAATTCGTTTGGTGAAAAAAGTTCGATATTTACGGACGGCCCCTAAGTATGTATTTACTTTCGAATTTAGTGACCACACCCGTACTAACTTTCGGGCGGGTACTGACTTTCGGGCACGAACTAACTTTCGGACCTGACTTGTGTGTAGTGGAGAAGTCATTTTCATGTAGATGTACATGTACATGCTGCGTGCTGACTTCAACAGACAGAGCCAAAAGACTTCAACAGACAGAGCCAAAAGACTTCAACAGATAGAGCCAAAAGAATGAAGGGGGTATTTCTTTCGGGCAGGTACTTATTTACGGACTTTTACGGTAACCTATGATTGATTGACTGCTAGTCGACAGCCCAATGGAAATTGTTCATTTTATCAGGAGTAAGCAGCTAGTCCGAGCCGGCACTGTACCTTGGAATCATCGCCACCAGTAGCCAGGTACTGGCCATCAGGCGAGTAGGCCAGGCAGCTCATGTCGTAGAAGTGACCCTGCTGCTTCATCAAGTAGGACTCGCTGGCCCATTCCCAGACCAGCAGCTGGCCGCGAGACCGGCAGCCAAACGCCAGCCAGTCACCGGTGGAGTTGATGGCCACGGAGGAAACTTTCTGCTGAGATATTCTGCACAGCAATGAAGGATATCAAGGAAAATGTGATGACTTCATGAGCCATGCAATGCTGAATTCAGGGTACAGAGAAGTGAGGCACCATGACATGGCGTTTTGAGCAGTGCTCATGGTTACGGCAGCTGATCGTTACACCGTGCTTTTACTTACGCAGGAATTTTGAAATTTCATGAAATTAAAAAAAAAAGAAAAGAAAAGTTAGGCACAACAAATCTACATTGGCATGTTGATGTGCCAGTACACTCTTCAAATTCCCTGCTCCTACTCCTATTAAAACAAATCATGCTATATGAACGGCACTACTTACGTGAGTGAATGGATTTGATTGAACTCAGGCATATCGTAGAGTGAGAACACGCCGTTACTGAAGCCAATCACCAGCAAGTTGCGCTCCTTGTGGAACGCAGAGCAGGCGATGTGTGCCTTCTCCTGTATGAACAGGTGCCTGTGGAGTGCAACACAAGTCGCAGAGTGCGTGAATGCAAGCGCGCGTGCACACACAGACCAGATATTAAGGTCCACAGTGGCCACTTGAAGCTTCCAAGTAGCAGCAGCACTGAGGCCAGAACCAATACATCGAAAATTGAGAGATGGTAGAAAAACGGCAACAGAATAAGCCCCGCGGGTGAATTAGCTGTTGATCCCGTGTTGAAGAAAACAGGTCTTAGAACACATCATCTACAGTACAACAATCTATTTACTCTTTACGTGAAGAGAGAGAGAGTGACCCGCACTGAGCCCCAAACCCAGTAACTCCTGCATCATGCCACGATTGTGTGAGGCAGACTACACTAACATCTGGTGTATAAAGCAACGAAAAAGAAAGAAAGCACTGCTCCACTGTAGTACTAGTACTCACTTGTCATCCTCCTTGAGGGACCAGCGCAGAGGAACCAAGTTCCTGCCGGGAACTGTTTTAGCGCGTTTCCTGGGAGGTTCTGCAGAATACGACGGCAAATACATATCCAAATGTAATGTCTACAGTACATACTACAAACACTCATCACAAATCAATAACACCACAGCATAATACTTCTTGTACAACCGTTTGGGGAACACATAAACATCAGCCACTCAAAGCATCTTCACTGCAACTCCATGGTACATCCGGATTCACAGAGCAAAAATACATGGGGATCAGAGGTCTAAGGCAAAATTCACATCTGCAAAGACGCAGGCACATGCTAATCTGGTTTAACAACATGATCTACATTTAAAAAATAATAATAATAAAACCTTTTACGCAACCGTATCCGGCGAAACCACAACAGATTCATCAAGTGAAAGTCCAGCACTACAATGTATACATGAAAGGGTCTATCCAACACGTCATGTACTCAGGCGTGTAGCTCACATGGGGCAAGTGCCCCCCAAAAAAAATTTCGACCTGGGTTCAGCATGTACCAGCCACCCTGCACATACATTGAATGCTGCCGTGCACCCCCCCCCCCCCCCCCCCCCCCAGGGAGACCGGCTACGACCCTGTGTACTCAACTAACAAGACTGCATCACCACCATCACCACCCACCTGCTGCGCTACGCTCTTCTTCCCCCGAACTGCTGCTCTCCTCGTCACTGGAAGCCGCTCGCCGCATCTGCTCCAGCTCAGCCAGCGCGTCCTCCAGAGCATGGCTGCAACGCCAGATGAACAGCGAACAGTCCTTACCCAGCGAGTACATCTGCAAAACGAGAGGCACTTGCGTCAAGGAAAAATCCACTCCGGAGCAGACAGCAAGGTATCGAGCTGAGAGCATTATAGAATTTACATGTTGGACACACGAATACAGGCTGGAAAGAAAGGACATCAAAAGATGATC